ATAAGGAAAAACAAGCTCAAATGAAAAAACAATATGTAATTAGAAAGAGGAAAAGGCCAATAAACTTGAAAATCTTGGCACCATAGAAACATGTTTTAAAAAGTTATCTTTTGTCATCATTTTCAAGAGATAAAATTGACAAGCTGAGAAGACACATGTTTTCCATAATTATTTCTGAAAGAATAAACTCCTGATGACGAGGAATGTGTATTGACCACTAACTATCTATTACATTATCACACCTAACAGAGCTGACACACAGCAACATAATTATCTGCTGATGCCTAAATTATGGCACATGCATGTTATGATGAACTACATCAATATTTACCACTGCCAAAATGATATTCGTGGGACCAGCATGATGGCTTTTCAGACTAATCCTCCACCTGCAGTGCTGGCATCCCATATACGTGCTGGTTCAAGTGCAGGCTGCTCCACTTGGGATCCAGCTCCCTGTCTATTGCCTGGGAAAGCAGCAGAGAATGGCTCAAGGGCTTGAGGTCCCTGCACCCCCATGGGAAACCTGGAAGAAACTCCTAGCTTCTGCCTTCAGATTGGCACAGCTCCAGTCATAATAACAATTTGGGAAATGAACCAACAGATGGAAAATCTCTCTTTCTCTCTCTCTCTGGGTAATCTGCCTCTCAGATAAAATAGATAAATCTTTAAAAAAATACTCAGGATATGAAATGAGGGAGGGAAGGAGAGAATAACAATATAATTCATGCACACATAAGCATAAATTTTATGTGTATGTATATATGTGTATATAATATGTGTAGTCCCACACACACCCACAAATTAGCATGAAACAATAGCTGTGATACCTATAATGTTAAATTGGAAAGTTCTAAGTAACAAAACTTCTATTTTGATGTTTTGTGAATTCCTGTTACTAACAAAGTTGTTCACCTTGAACTTCTTCTAAAATAACAAAACTATCAAAAATTACAATGCCCAAATGAAAAATTTAGTACTCAAAATTACAAATCACCCAAGGTTATTTCAAACTCTAAAAATACAACCAAAAGTATTCAACTAAGAAATTTACAGGAAAGACCTTCTATTATGGTAATTCTTAACAGATAACAGATTAAAATATTATTCAGGCACTTTAATTCTTTTCCTTTTTAAGAAGAAGAACTCTTTTCTTGTGGTTCTTAGATACCAGATTCAGCCACGTAGTCATGTGGAAACCTACTTCCTTAATTTAATTTCTCAGGGTAGCTTAGGCTAACCAGAATGACAGGGAGGATTATTTCTTGTTAATTCACAATTTTTTAATTTTCCCTTAAAATAAGTATGGTGAGACTTTGCAAGAAAAGAACAAACTAATATTTCAGCACACTCAGTCCTTTAAAATATTTTCTTTATATCTCCATGAGATGAAGAAATGAAAAACAAGACAAATAAGAGACAAACAAAACAAAAATCTACTACAAATGAGGAAACCACAATAAACTTCAAGGGTAACAGTCTCAACACAAAATTTTAAAATTATTCTCACTGAGAAACCCCCCTTCAAAAAAACTTCCCTAGATTAAAAGCTATCTATTAGAATTCATTTGTCTACACAGTGACCATTTTGCAGTGTATTTCCATCCCTGTAATATCTAAAACGCCTGGTTTAACTACCCTCACAATTAAAATGACACGCCAAAATTCTTACTTAGTCTACACATATCAGAGCGTCAGTCAAGAAAAGCATCAAAGAACGTTCTTTACACATCAAACATTTCTTTCCTTTTTAAAATGTCTATTATTTATTTACAAGAGGGCAAAAAGAGAGGGAAAATCTTCCACCTATTGCTTTATTACCCAAATGCCCAGGACCACCAGGAGCCTGGAGCTCCATCCAGCTCTCTCAGCAGGCAGCGGAACCCAAGCGCTCAGGCCATCTTCTGCTGCCTCCAAGACAGATTCACCGCAAGTGGAACCAGCAGCAAGAAAGCCAGGACTAGAACCAGGTCATCTGATAAGGGCACACGCATCCCAGGCAGCAGCTCAACCCACTGTGCCACAAAGCCACCCCACAAATTACTTTCTAGAAGTTATTTATGGTATATATCTTACAACTTTAAAAAACCTAAAAAGTCATTTTAAATGAGGCACTTTTTAAGATTTATTTATTTATTTGAAAGTCAGAGCTAACAGATAAAGAGGAAGAGATACCTTCCATCTTGTGGTTCACTTTTGAAACAGATGGCCCCCAGCACAAAGGCTGGGCCAGACAGCGGCCAGGAGTCAGAAGCTGCATCCAGGTCTCCTATCTGGGTGGCTGACAGGGGTCTAAGCATTCAGGTCATCTTCCACCGCTATCCCAGACCACCAGCAAGGAGCTGGACCAGAAACAGAGTAGCAGAAACACAAACCTGGCACTGTGGGATGGGACCCTTCCCCTGCCATGCCACCACCCCAGCACTCTGAAGGAGCTATTCTCTACAATTCTCTACAATGCGTATCACACCAGATCTGACCACCGTCCTCAGTGCTGTTGTTCATAGTTTAGATGAGATTTTGACAATCTATTTTTAATTCAAAGCTACAGCATTAAAGAAAACTCTACCTTATTCTATCATGCAAAAAAAACCAGATAAATCTAGTAGGTGGGATGGATTGCCAAACTATAAGACTAAGGACATGAAAGAGTGAGTGTAAACTAGTTTTTCTGTAAAGCAGACTTACAGCATTTAATAAGAAAATTACTGAAACACAGGTACTATTTTCAAAGTCACTTTCCTTTTTTTATTCTTTTTTGTTTCAAAGATTTATTTATCTTTATTGCAAAGTCAGATATACAGAGAGGAAGATTTTCTAACCATTGATTCACTCCCCAAGCAGCTGCACCAGCCGGAGCTGAGTCAATCCAAAGCCAGGAGCCCGGAGCCTCTTCCAGATCTCCCACGCAGATGCAGGATCTCAAGGCTTTGAGCCATCCTTGACTGCTTTCCCAGGCCATAGGCAGAAAACTGGATGGGAAGTGAAGCTGCCAGGATTAGAACCGGCACCCATATGGGAGCCCAACACATTTAAGGCGAGGACTTTAGCCACTAGGCTATCATACCGGGCCCTCTCTTTTTTTTTTTTTTTAAAGATTTATTTATTTTAATTGGAAAGTCAGATCCACAGAGAGAAGGAAAGACAGAGAGAGATCTTCCCAAGTGGCCACAATGGCTGAAGCTAAGCCAATCAAAAGCCAGGAGCCGGGAACCTCTTCCAGATCTCCCACTTCAGACTAGGATCCCAACGCTTTGGGCCGTCCTCCACTGCTTTTCCTGGCCAGAAGCAGGGAGCTGGATGGGAAGTGGTGCAGCCAAAACATGAACCAGCACCCTTATGAGATCCCCGAGCATGCAAGGCGAGGACTTAAGCCTCTAGGATACTGCCCCACCCCAGAGTAACCTTTCCAACCAATGCCATGCATGCAAGGAAGTCTTTTGGTAGAGCTGACTGCATATCATCTCAGAGTGCCAGTTCCAGTCCTGGCTAACTGCATTTTCAGACCAGCTTCCTGCTAATGCACCCAGGAGGCAGCAAATAATGGTCCAAGAACTTGAGTTCCTAACACCCAAGCGGGATACACAGATGGGGGTTCCTGGCTCCTGATTCAAGCCTGGCAGAGTTGGGCTACTGCAACCATTTACAGAGTTAACCAGAGAATGGAAACGCTCCCTCACACACCCTTAAATGCTTCCTCACACTTCCTTTCTTCCTTTCCTTTCTTTGTCTCTGTCTATGTCTCTCTCTCTCTTTCCTTTCTTCCCTCCTTTCCTTCCTTCCTCCCTTTCTCTCCACAGTAGCTGCTCTTATGGAAAAGCAAAGTTATTAAGTGGTAAGTATAAACTGACACACTGTTAGACTGATTCAATACAGCATATCTTAGTCACGCAGCACAAAGCATAAAAACACTGCAGACTTCTGGGATTTGCATCTATGTGTACATCTTCCTAAAATGATATTGTGTAGCAAGCTTAAAGACAGATACCCATTCAGAATTTCTGAAACAGGGGCCAGTGCTGTAGGGCAGAGGGTTAAACTATATAGCCTGCATTCCATCCAGGCAACTATTCGAGTTGTGGTTACTCCCCTTCTGATTCAGGCTTCTGCTAACGCACTTGGGGAAGCAGCAGAAAATGGCCCAAGTCCCTGGGTCCTGCACCCCACATGGGAGACCTGGAAGAAGCTCCTGGCTGAAGCCTGGCTCAGCTCTGGCTATTTTGGACATTTGGAGAGTGAACCAGCAGATGGAAAGTCCCTCTCTATTTCTCCTTTTCTCTCTCTATAACTCTTTCAAATAAATAAATCTTTTTAAATAATTATTTTAATTTTATTATGACATGACACAGTTCCATTGGCAAAAATAATTTATGTGCTTTTAACTAAATCAATAAATCAACTGAACTGTGAGGTCTGCTGTAATTTATTCTAACATTTTCTACTTGCTTGTACCTTCTACAACAAATATCAAACCATTATCAGATTTTGAAGGTCTCTCAACACATTGGGCTATCACTCCAAGTATCTATGTCTTCTCTGCATCTCAGTTCTTTATCTACAGAGAAATCAATTAATGATTCATTTATATCCTCCTCTATTTCCTATACTTTCCCATCTTCTATCTTCATGCATTGAGCTGCTACTCAAAAACCAAGTATACTTACCAAAAACAAAACTGGCAAACACAAACAAAAGAATAATGATGATTTATGTGGATCAACACTTTTAGAGCTAATGGTTATGGAAAAGTAGATGACAATGAGACATAAAGATGGAAAAATTCGCAAAAGGAACAACACAATAAAGCCAGTATATTCGTGTTCAGAAACTACCTTGAAAAGAGGACTAAAAAGGTGAAGCCAAGCCACCAATAAGATAGCTTTGTCCCAAAGCTACATCTTACACACGTTCCTAGGTCTCCTTAGGGTTCTCCAGCTACCCAGACTGACACTGCATCAAAGAACCCCACAGGTAACACAACACGTAGGCGTTCTTCTTACCCTCACACAGGACTTCTCCAAAGGTCCTCACACATGCCGGTGGTACCAACATGGGCACATCACAGGTTCACACGCTGTGCAGTCCCTGTGGGACAAAAAGTCTAAATGACCTCACTGAAGGGAAGACCAGCAAAACAATGTCTTAGGCCTGAAGATCATCTGTAAGAACATAATAGTATGATTTAATAAATAAATGCTAACTTATGTTTTATAATTATATTTGGTTTCCATAGTACCCAATTCATAACTCCCTCCCCAAAGGCAGGTGACAGAATCTACATTTTCTTTTCCCAAATGTGGCTCTTAGAAACACTCATCTTCCACGTCATTTTCTGACCAACCTTGCCCAGTGATAGATCAGACTTCATTTCAGAACAGGTCATGTTCTATAACCCAGAAGAAGAAATGCCACACAAAGGAACCAAGAAGAATGTGAGCAGGTCTATTAGCCAGCATATGTAATAACTATAACTGTTATAAATAACAGTGCATATGTAAACCCAGAAGGACAGGGTTCAGAAAGCTTCCACAGAGCTCAACACATAGAGGTTCCTGGAAGGACCCGTGGATACTCCAAGGCCCCCTCCTTCACACCTCGCCAGCTGGATTCTTTGTAATACCCTTGAACAAACCAGTACAAGTACTTCCGCAAGTTCTGTAAGCAATTCAAGAAAATTAAATGAACCTAATCAGGATTGGAAGACCCCCAAATTAGAGCTGGCTAGACACAAGCTCAGGCAAAACAGCATGGGATCGTGACTGGCCTCTGAGGTCAGGGATCAAGAAGCAGTCCTGGACACTGGCGCTTAGTCTGTGGGATCTACAAGAAGACAGTGTCTGCCTGCATTAAATCAGACAACAGCCACAGGTGTCTGCTGCTACCCACTGTTTATGACTGGCGGGGTAACAACACCCCACACCCCACCCACACACTTATTTTGAGGTCACAGACACACACTGTGTGAATTCTAAGGGTATGAAGACAGAGGAACAGAAAGTTGATTTTTCTAACACAGACTCCCAAAAAGCACAAGGAAACCACAAGCCTTCATATTTTAAAGTATCAAACTTCCCAAGCAATGAAACATGCAGTCTACACGTAAGAAGCTACACATCAGGACAAACCGTCTAATCGACAAAATATAACCAACTCCTACAAGAATTGAAGGATTGCCACAACCTCAGGATTGCAAGGCAATTTACAAAACATGTAGGAACGAGTAAGTTTTAACAGTAATTCTTGACCATTGTCTCACACAGCACATTCCAACAGTCTGTGAAATCCCCTAACCAATGGTGCACAGATGAAGAACAGTGGGGGTGGGGAGAGGAAGCCCACTCCTGTCCCAAGGAATCTGGTCTGCTCTTGGTTCAGATTCACTAATCAATCACTATTAATCTGGTTCAACTAGCCTCCTTACCCACAGTAAAAAGAAGCCAAAAGCATCTATCAATCTTCCACTCAACAATTCTTGAACAGGAGCTCACTAATGGGCGCTGCACTAAGTTGAAAAACTGTTAAGCTTAAACATCTGATAATTTTTCAAATCTATTTTTCTTTGTCTAAAAGGTAGCAGAGGGAAAGAGAGGGAGAGACAGAGAGAGAGCTCTTACACTGCCTGGCTTCACCTCCCAAATATTCATGCCACCCTGGGCTGGTCCAGGCTGAAGCAAAGATCCAGACTCCACGCAGGCCGCCAATATGAGTTGCAGGAGCTCAAGAACTTGAGTCAACACCCATTGCCTCCCAGGGTGCACGTCAGCAGAAAGCTGGGCAGGAGGTAGGCAGGACTGACCCCAGGCACTCTGGAATAGGTTGCAGGCTTTGCAACCACTGCCCTACAATCCCTGCCACCTGACAATGTTCTAAACTGCTTACGCTCCACCAAAATAACTGTTCTAAATTATCCATATTAGCTACATTATACCTGATACTTTTAACAACTATACTTGCTAAAAATATACTTTATGGAGCCAGAACTGTCTCCTTATATTTATTAATTCTAATTGGTTCTTGCTGTGCCTTCTGAAACTATTTGTTCATATTTCCCATTTCCTTTCCCCTACAATATTCTCCACATTATCACCCCCATTTCCTCCAACTAATTAAAAGTCTGTAGGAGGGGTAAAAAGACCTCAGTCAGGGTACTGGTAAAAGATGACAGAACTAGCAACCGACAATAAACATTTGTGTGCCTCTATGCCCAGAGAGGAGACCATGTCTCGGAGCCTGCAGGCTGAAGTCAGGAGTACACCACTTCCAGGGACAGGGAATCCATGTGCAGAAGGCTGTAGGGAATTCAGGAGGACAAAAAGCGATTTTGAAATTTGTAATCAGTAAGATGTAGTATTTTCCAAGTCCCATATCAGCAGTTAGTCTTCCCAGGAAAAATGTCTCTTACTGAATCTAACAAAGTATCTGCGGCTTAAACATAAAGCATCAAAGTAATTATTCTTACACAGCAGCAAAAAAAGACACCAGGAGCCATCACACTCTGTTCCTGCCCTCACAGTCTAATAAGCAAGACGGACAGAACTAACTACACACAAGGGTAAAATGATTATATCTCATCCTACAGATACAAAGTGTGGCAATATTAAGAGAAATACTTTTTTCTCTTTCTAATGAGAATATCCACATACGAATAATATCGCAGGATAAAATACAATCATAACTAATAGCCTCTAAATAAAAGGATAAGAACATACAAACAAAAGAAACCTTTTCTGGAAATAAGTACAAGAAAACATCAAACATTACTTACGAATTAGTTAAGTATCACAAATGAATTAAAGTCAACAACTAAGTCTATTGTTACAGACTGATGCTTGAATTGTGTCATCAGTCAGGCGACAAGCATTGTTTAAAATGCTCACAAACACAATTGTTTTGGCTGACAAATGGAACTACTTAATGTAATTTTTCTTGTCATCCCAAATTTAACATCAATTAGAGAAAAGAGCTACAAATTTATAATCCTTACAGTTAGAATGATAAGTTCTTCAGCTAATATAACAGTTACAGAATTCTGTACAACTATATATTAGAATGCCTTAATTATATTCATAATATTAGTTCTACAGATGACTTTGTGGAATCTTGTTAAAAAGCAGTTTAGTAAACATTTAACTTTGTTTAAAACTGATACCATATTCAGAGAAAAAAATTCACACAGCTTTGAACCCCTACTCACATCATCAGACACCTTCAGCGGGATATATTCCAAAAATGTAAAACAAAGAAATCTTTATTTGGTAGATTTGTTACTGGGGACAGCAGTAATCTATTAATTCCAAAACTACGTAATATGTGTTATAGGATGGATTAACTGAATACATAAGTGAGACAGTCAAGAACCAAAAGTCCCCCTTTGGGAAAAAGGAGTCACAAGTATGAATTGAAGCAGGGTAAACAAAATTCTGTACCACTGAATTTCATTTGAAAGCACCATATTAACTCATTCTCTTCAAAATGTGTGGGTGTGCCCACTTAAAACACCGAGAAACAATGTTACCCCAGTAGCAATTACCCTGTCCATGACCAGATCTTCATTTCTAATTTGCAGCCTCAGGCTGTGGCATAACCACGCCCCTCTCAAGCCCCCATCAAGACCCACGTATGGAGGGGCTCTCTCTCTTGGTGACACACTCCTGGAGCTCTTGCACTCTGACCCTAGGCCTGCCCAGTACCACTTGCTCTCTGGCTTCCTGTGGACAGGTAGCCTCTGAGCATGGCTCACATAGGTCTGGATTTCTCTCCCTCTGCTCATTGCTTGGGACAATCAGTGAAGTTGCAAAAGCTAACATGTTTCACATTTCTAATTTGTGCGCTTTTCAAGAGTTCCAGAAGAGGTAAAGCCTAGTAGCAAAAACATGTGGACAGAGAAGCCAGGAAAAGGCGAATGTTTGCAGCTTTTTAAGTTTGTCCAGGTTGTTCACTGCACGTGTCTTAAGATAATTTATATTGCTGGGGAAGCTGGAACATAAACCATCTGTTTAACAGAAGGGTGTCATGGTACTGACCATTTGTTCTTCTCAGGGCTTCCATTCAGACTAGACTGCTAGGGTGACTTTTCATTTGCTAATTTCTAGTGGGCCCTACCACTGCCAAGCTTAGTTAATAAAGACTCCTTAATACACCCAGAAAAAAAATAAAATGTTCAAATATCACTGTGGACACTTCTATATGCCACAGAAACAGCTTACAGGGACCACCACAGGCCAAATTTACAATAACTTAATTACAAAAAATGAAGATGAGACACTGCAAAAATTTTGATTAGACAATCTCAGGTATGCAGGAGTGAAGGAGTGACACTAATATAAAAGGAGTGAGGAGGAACAATTCTTCTCTGAAGACAGCCCTGGGAAATCACTCTTCAGCAACCAACAATGCAAACACTGACTGAAGTCACTGAACAAAAAAAAAAAAAAAAAGCTGTATTACAGAATATATGCAGGGATCTCAAAATATGTAAAAATAAATAAATCTTTTAAAAAGTATTGCCACAATAAAAACAAAGTATCAAAATGCATATCATGCCCATCCCCCTCACACACACACACATACACACCAAGTCTGGACCTCTCTCAGTGAACTGCCTCACCAGAAAACCCCAGGGCAGCCAATGGCATCTTCTCCCGCATCCCCCTTGTCTAGCTCATCAACCAGTTCCACTTGCTATTCTTCTCTGGAAACCATCTATTTCCACTGATCCATGTCCACCACTACCTTATCCAGAATAGTGCCAGTTCTCATCCTGGCTATCTCACCAATCTCCCAGTTAGCTTCTGCTCATCTCCACCCTCAGCCCCTCTGTCAACAAGGTTTTCCTCTGTATAAACAGCATTGAGTCTCTTTAAACAGACGTATCATCACTGCAGCTTTAGATTTCCTTGGTTATTTGATTTGTACCTGCCTCCCGTGTTACAGGGTAAGTTGTGTGAGTGTAGACGACTCACTGCCACACCAAGTGGCATAGGAGACAACACAGTTAATAAATGTTAAATGATTAAATGACTGTCCAAGATTACAAATTTAATCAGCAGTCCAGAACAAACCTAAAAGACCACCATGCATTATAAGCAATAATAGGTCAACAATTCCAGACCACACAATTTTACAATTTTTAAGTTTGAAATTAACATATTATCTTACAATTGACAACCTTGATCTATTTCATCGCCAGCATTTTTTCTCAGAGTAATTGATAAAATCGGTGCATCTTCGAATTAAGACAGAGTCGTGTTTAATGAGACAGCTGAATCTCCAATCCACTTCACAGGATCAAACAAGATCCACTCCCAGGTAAGCTGGCCTCGTTCCTCGCATGGCCACCACCTCTCCCCAACACTCAGTAACTCACAGCTCTCAAGTCCACTCCTGTCTTCCATTCACAGGATAATCACTCTAGATCTATGTAACATCTTGCTATCTCCTAACAGAGCTCTTGTCAGTTATACATTTAAACAGTATCTTTTCAAATTCAACCAATGCTGTGCACCTTCAATGTGTAAGAAAACAAGATATAAAGCAGTCTACTAACCCGGCCCTCCCTCTAACCTCTCCCCCTCATGGTTCATCTTGTGTGTCTTTCTGAAATCATCTGTCACCTACCTCACACCCTTATCCACCAAGCAAGTCTGCCTGATTTTCTTCCTGAAACCTTATTCCACCACCATAAAACACTAAAGGCCTCTGCACACTGGCCGTATTTCCTGCTTCCTGAAGGCCTTCTGCTAGGGTACAAACCTGCCTTGTCTTTGATGCTTGCTGCTGTTTCCTCCCCCGGCTCAGGGTCTCTGCTATATAACTGCTACCCGGCACGCCTTTGTTGAATGAATGTACAGATTTCAGAGATCAGAACAAGCATTTACAGTAGGACGAGTCAGAAAGAAAAAGATGAAACAACTTGAAGACTCGGGAGTTCCTGCTTGCTTACCAGCTGGATGCAATATTCAGCAGTTTGAGCAGCTGTGATTAACTGAGCTCACGTGTTAAAAGGACCTAGCACCAGACAGCAAGCAGACACTCTACTCAGTAAGTTACTGGTGATTTTGTTAAATACCAGTAAGTATTCAAAAAAATGCCAATCAATGAATAAAATCTCAAGAAAAATAGAAAAAGTTCAAATCACATCTAGCTTCTCATCCTTTTCTCTAAAAAAGATTCCCCTAACTGAATTGATTCTGAAATACTTTATACATAGCGCCAAATCTTAATCACAGCTGAAAACACCTCAGATTAACTAGAAATAAAAGCAACTTAACAGAAGTTATTTCGGGATTTTACTGATTAATAATCTTACTATTAGAATCTCTACAGAGCAGTAATAACAGACGAGACACTGCAAACTCATTGGTGGTACATCGTTCGTTCCCTGAACACAGTACAGAATTCCTGGTTACAAAACTTTACTGGATACAGTCCAATGCGCTTCACCACGGCTGTCAACACTTCATAATCAGCTACCACACAGACACTTGCATCCATTCTACAGAAAAGGAGCATAATTAAACGGTTTTCAAATGCCTGACTAAATTATGCAAGTCTGGATACTGGTCACTTTTTATCTCTTAAGTTTCAAAGTTTTATAGCAGATGTGCTGATAATTCAAAATAACATCAGATTATTGGTTAATAAGAAACTCTGCTTTATTCTTATTTTATTTGATTTTTATTTTCTAACTCAAAAAGTGCAGAAGTTAACTTCCAAAGCCTTCCCAATCCCTGAGGGCTGGGGGAACTTTCACTGACATAACATGTAACAACAAATCACAAGCAAGCAACAATCATTTCTTTGTGTCTCTCAGCTATTAACTGACACAAAATCATCACAAAAATTCAACACAATACTTGTGGTTCAAGCAGAAAAAAAAGGAAGAAAAGAAACCGTATATGCAATTCAACTATAAAAAGCTGTAGGCCCAGGTACCACCTAATGACAGGATATCCGTGAACCCCATAAGGGGGAAAACCACACAAAATCAAAAAGTGAGCGGAAAAAAGTAAGAACCGCAGTCAGGCTGCGGTGACAGGTGAAATCCAGAATTCAGAGTCAGCCTAAGAAAAGGCAGTCCTCTGCACGTCCAACCTTTAAATGTGGTCAGGGCAGGGAGGGCTGCGGGAAGAGTGAATGAAGTCAACGAGGGGCGGCCGCACCTGTGTCACCGCTGGAAGCAGTAACCAAGACTGAAAGGAGGAAGGGGCTACGACGGAGATGATCAAGTCCTTGGGAATCTGATTGCTGCATTTTCCTCTTAAAAAGGCTTTGGGAGGAGACAGAGCTGACAGAAACCACAGCAAAGGGGTCGTGGGGGGTGACCCAGCAACAGGCGACAGACAGCTCAGGGGACCTGAAGGTCGTGCCTGGGACACCTAAGAGCGGCTGCCCTCGGCGGAGGACGGGGCGGCGAGCAGTCCCAAGACACCGCGGCCTGAGCCGACAGCCGAGGGAGTGGGCAGAACCCTCGGATAACCGGGGAGCTGGCCCTCAGCGAAGCCTCCCGCTCCCCAGGGACCCACCACTCCAGCCCAACCTTCGCGCCCCCGTCGGCCTCGGCTCGACGCCTCCCCGTCGTCGCAGGAGGGCCGGAGAAGGGAACCGACGCGCGGGAGCCGCCACCAGCCCGGGAAACGCTGAGCCGCGCGCGGGCACACCGCAGCCCGCACCCGCCACCAGCTGCCTGAGACCTCGGCGCCGCGGCCGCCGTAGCGCGAGCGCCGGCCGGCAGCCACTTCCGGGGCACCGGGGCTGCGGGCAGGCGGCGGGCACGGGCCTCCGCGCGGCGCTGCCCCACCTTCCCCTCCGCCACAAGAAGCCCTCACCCACCCGAGCGGCCAGCGCAGACACCCAACACAGCGTGCGTCGAGCAGCAGGTTTCTCTGATGAACAAGCCGCGTTCGCGCGGCTTCAGAGCTTCTTAAATAGTCGGACTTCAACTACCAGCATGCCGTGCGCAGTCGTGAGCAAGCTTGGGTCCGAGGAACTACAAGATCCAGCAGGCACCGCCTGTCCATGCCTCCCTGTCCCTGACCCGCAGACGCCTCCTGCCCAGCCGCACGTTGGTAGTGAAACACTGAGTGTTTCTGCAGGTATTCCAAGCCTCATTGGCACGGGCCGCAGGCTGCAGAGTGGTAGGAAGACAACAACAGGCTGCTTCTCCACATTCAGGTTTGAATGAAACGGAGCGACAGCCTTTACAGACTTTATGACAGAAAGCGTACCATCGCTCGTAAGGATTCTTAAAGAAAATTATAAATTATTGGCAAGTGTAATCCTTTCTTCATTTTTGCGGGACCCCGGATATTTGTTCGAGCAGACTCTGAGACTTGCTACTGAGGTGCAGTCCATTATAGTAATAGCTAACAGTAAACAGTTCACATTCTGTGTACCGCACTGAGCCACGTGGAAGTGAAGTATTCCAGAAGGAAGAGGTATGAAGGAGTTCAAAAACAAACTTTGGGTTTTCCGTTCTTCAGTGTATGCGGTGATTAAATTATTTTTAGTATTTTTATTCCGGTAGCTAGAACAGTTCCTATTGATGTGGTGGAGGCCAGTTAACTAATCAAGCAAAAAGTATGACGGGGTCATAAATGGAACATTTATTACTATGAGCAACTGAAAATTATGTCTTGTATAACTTGTATAAGTAGCGGCTCTGTATTTTGAAATACGGAAATCGTTATGATTTTATATAAGAGGAGATAGCATGTATTTAACAAACCATCTGCTTGCCTTTTTGTAACTTCCATATAGACTTGAACTACAAGAATGAATATGTATATATTATTCTTGGCATTGTGCATTAGCAGGCCACGAGAAACAGTGTTTGGATTCTTTTTTAAAAAAAAAAAAACCTTGTTTTTTTTTTAAAAGATCTATTTATTTTTATTGCAAAGTCAGATTTACAGAGAGGAGGAGAGACAGAGAAGAAGATCTTCTGTCTGATGATTCACTCCCCAAGTGACCACAATGGCCGGTGCTGTGCCGATCTGAAGCCAGGAGCCAGGAACTTCCTCCAGGTCTCCCACACGGGTGCGGGGTCCCAAGGCTTTGGGTCATCCTCAACTGCTTTCCTAGGCCACAAGCAGGGAGCTGGATGGGAAGTGGAGCTGCCGGGATTAGGACCAGCACCCATATGGGATCCTGGCACGTTCAAGCTGAGGACTTTAGTCACTACGCCACTGCACCGGGACCAGTGTTTGGATGCTTAAGGCTACTCTATGATATTAAAAAAAACATCGCCACGTGTATACTGCACATCTTAATGGGTTGGGCCAAGGCTGTAGAATAACCTCCCGTCTTTGCCGCTTCACACAGACATCCCGGAGGGACAGTGTATTCTGTAACACTGACAGGACGCCACTGACGGCTACCATACAAACTGCTTTTTGATTCCAATGTGCTAAGTTATACAGCACTAGCCTGTAAATATTTAAAATCTACAGTTATGGAGAACAGTCTGCTGCTTTCCATAGTAAAAAAGCAAACAATGTGATTCTAGTGCGAAGGGACAGTCCCTTTGGAATGATTCAAAGGCAAGGCTGACATTGTATTAGGTTACCTGGTACTCTTAGATGTTTGTAATTTTTTTTTAAAAAAGCACATAGTTACATTCACTTGTAAAAGATATTTTACTAGAAAGGCAGATATACCAAGAGAAGGAGATAGAGAGAGAAACATCGTCCATGCACTAGTTCACTCCCCGAGTGGCCGCAACAGGAGTATAGCTCGGATACACTGCAGCCCCTCCCCGTATTAACACTCACTCGATTTCATTCACACTTCCTGCAGCCCTGCCTGCCCTGACCACTTCTAAAGCCAGTAGCCTGGAGCTTCTTCCGGGTCTCCCATACAGGTGCAGGATCCCAAGGTTTTGGCCATCCTCTACTGCTTTCCCAGGCCACAAGCAGGGAGCTGGAATGGAAGTGACACAGCCAGGATACGAACTGGCTCCCATGAAGGATCTCAGCACATGCAAGGCGAGGATTTAGCCACTAGGCTGTCGCTCCAGGCCCTACATTCACTTATTAGTATCAGAGAATCTTTTTGAAGTATGCTAAATATTTAATTCATGCATTTTTAAAGCAGTTCCAATGATCAACTGTGAATTTGAACAGCTCAATGAAGACAGGAGAGAGTTTAAAGGAGTACCTAACTTATGAACAGACGCTACATTTTGTGAAGAGATTCTTAGAGTGGTAATGCGCGACTGGATTTCTCTAAATTTGCCTGAGATTTCCTGATCAGCTGCCAGCTTCCCAAGAGGTCATCTCCGTGCGACACACGCCCTGTCGGTGGCACTATGAACTGAGCCCTCTGCCTCAGCGCCAGAAGCAGCTAGAAACACAGCTTTGGTAACTGAGACGCGTCCAAAGGAAAACGGAAACCAGAAGAGAGCTTTACCAGGATGGAAAGGTATGCCACTGCCTCTGAGGGACACAGCAAGCGCTTGTTAACGGCGACGCTGTAATAGTTGAACACACTTTCTAAAAGGCAGGAGCTGAGTCTTAAACACGTTTCTCTCCAGACTTTTTGAAACCACATTTCAGCAGGTGGTTAGGGAAGATGCTAACAAGATGGATTGAGACAACAGATTAGCTGTTCCAGTAACTGAGGCCTGTTCCACAAAATGCTAACCAAATTATTGGGGACTATACAGGTTTGGGTTGGACATTGTTTAAAAGCTGATAGAGGGGCCTGGTGTGGTAGCCTAGCTGCTAAAGTCCTCAGCTTGCATATGCTGGGATCCATATGGGCTTTGGTTCTAATCCTGGCAGTCCCACTTTCCATCCAGCTCCCTGCTTGTGGTCTGGGAAAGTGGTCGAGGATGTTATAAAGCCTTGGGACCTTGCACCCACATGAGAGACCCAGAAGAAGCTCCCGGCTCCTACACTTCAGTTCGTCTCAGCTGTGGTCATTGGGCTCACTTGGGGAGTGAATCATCAGATGGAAGATCTTCCTCTCTGTCTTTCCTCCCCTCTGTATATCTGACTTTCCAATAAAAATAAATTTTAAAAACAGCCTACAGGAGAATGGAGTGGAGCAAATGCAGCCTTCATGACTGCCCTTGTGTAAAAGGATCTTGGTGTGCTGGGTAATGCCTGTTTTTTTTTTATTTTAATTTTTATAATGATTACATGGTTGATCAGGGTGGGAAAGATAGAGGTTTAAGGAAAACTGGGTGAACTCATTGTTTCCAAATTTGCCATTTCTTCTTGTTCCTGAGGGGGAAGGGGAAACACAAAGGGGGAAACCACTCACAACTTTCCGCACATCCCAGCACCCAGGGAAGAGGAATCGCCACCTCATATCAACCCAGAGTCTCAGTGTGCACGTATTCTGAGGGTTCTGTCCAAGTGGCTTGGATAGTTCTGAAATGCTGCCTATTTCACCGATCCAAGGATGACATCACCCTCCCAATGACCATTGGCTCCATTCGCCAGGATTTTTTGCTGTCATTGTTTGTTTGGGGTAGTTGTCCAGTTAGTTCTGTTCTCCTTCTGCTACAGCATCAAATGTACTGCCATATTCTTTTACAACAGGGCCTGTGTCCACTGCTCCACCTTTTTCATTAAGTAGAACATATTCTTGCAGGTGAGTCCAAGGACCCAGGCAAAGCATCCCAAGCATGATTGGATCCCCCACCCCTGGGTCAGGCAACCCAAGCCCCACTGGATCCCCCACTCCTGGGGCTCATGAACCCAACACCCACCAAGTAGGCAGGCCCCAGGACCCAGGCCAGGAGACTGGGTAATGCCTCTTGACTGGATGCACTTGGCATGCTTTGCTTGGATGGAGAGGATTACTTATTGTGGAAAAGGAAACACCATGAACAGGCATGAAAACAAGATAGGGAAAATAGAAATAACCGGGGTCACTTCACTTTTGACATGTTGGGAGGACGGGGACCATCAGGGAGAATGGCCAGGCCACTTGGTTGGCCTTGCCCAAGGGTGACTTGCCAGGAAGCTTTACAAATTTTTTCAAGGCCCTTAGGATCCTTTTTACAAATTTTGTGGCTGGAGTACCTCTCCTACAAGAGAGATCCTATTGAGACAAGCTTGCTTATGAAAATGTCAACAAGTATTTCCCGAGGCCCATGGCATGCCTTAAAAGGAGTGGTACTTTAGTTGAAATAGTACATACCTGTCAGGTTATGGGCAACTCTTATCAGGGTCTGTCCCTGGCCACTGCTGTGAGTGAATGCACACAAAGGTGTTTTAACTGCAGGCAAACAGGCCACATCTGTGCACAGTGTACAGCTCTAGTGAAAGGACCTCCAGCTGCACGCCTGACTCCTGCTGTTCCTGAGCCTCTGGTCATGCCATCGGGCCTGGATCTGTCAGCTTTATAATAAGGGAAATCATTGGGCCAATCCGTGTAGATCTGTACTCCATAAGGATGGATCCTGAGACTATGGCACAGGGAAGCTGGAGATGGGCCTTCGCAGCCCCATTAGCAGCAGGGGGCTTACATCCCACCTCCATCCCAGGGTTCTCTGGTGTGTCTTGCCTCCACCCCACAGTAGATACCCTCCTCCAAGGCAGCTCAAGAAGCACCAGCCTCAGTGTGAGGAGCACAATGGGGAGTAAATGCAGGTGATACCTCTTGGAGTGTGTGGTCGGTCCATCACGTCTAGGGACACTGAGTCTCATGGGAAAGAGCGGTTGCATATTGCAA